AGGCAGGTGTACAGAGGGTTTCATTCTTAACTGAGTGGTGTCTGTTTCAGATGACAATTCAGTACTTAGGTGCCTTAAATTCCTATAATACCCCATTCGAGGCAGTGGTATGGAATCTAAACATAAGGATTATATGTCTTAAGGTTTCAGCATTATATCCTGCAAGACAAGACTGACAAGTGCCTACACTATCATCCAGAAGCTTTAGCTTAATATTTCTGATTGCACTGCCAACTGTGCAGCAATGAGATGCAGCTGGGAATTCAGATGTGCTCTTCAGCCACCAGAGACACACTTGAGAGAATCAATAATCTCCCTGGGCACCTGGAATGTAAATTATGACTTTTGCAGGTACAGTCTGATCATCCACCTGGGTAAATGTCCCTTTCTCCCTCTTCTGTGGCAGGAGGACTTTAAAGCTTCTATTTGAAACTCTTCTCCCAGAGTTGGCATGGCTGGGTCCTCCAGAGTGCGCACAGCTGGACTGCTTTTAACAGCCCTTCCTTCTGAGAGGCAGAAATGATGAGTTCAGCAGCACTAGATTAAGCTTACAAAATGCGGTAGCATAATTAGCAGTCTGGAATGATCCTTCAAAGCATCATCTAAGCTATGATTTATTATATAAAGCTTGGTGGCTTGGCTGCATGAGACTTCTGACTGTTGTGGCTTTGGCCTGCTCTTCCAGCCACGAGCCAGCAGAGCTGTAAGGTGGGACACCAAACTCTAAGGAAAAGGCAGCATCAGCATATACAACAGATAATGAAGATCATGTTCTAGGGATCCCTTCTCCATGGGAACTACCTCTGTCCATGCTGGGATCTCCTCCTGGTCCCAGCAGCAGTCCTGCACATCACTGTATTTTCTCAGCATTCCCAAAGTATATATCTCTGGTGAAATTGCAGCTGGTTGCTCCATAGCTGTCCTCTGACAGCACCAAGTCCTGAGAATGTTGTATGGTTGTGTTAGTAGAAAGGTAAACTTTATGGATGGCTACAACCATCTCCAGTCAGCACACATCCTAGAAAGGTCTGTCATAAAGGTTCTGATCTCTGTGTGTGGCTATAAGCCTGAATGAATAAAGGCCCACCAGATACCACTTCTAAAAATACAGCTGAAGTTAATCTCCCAGCTCTTGCTGCACGACTGTGACTGTGATGGATGAATGAGCAAATGAGGTCCCTCTATCTCCTGTCACTGAAAAGGGCACTTTCAACATAGAGAATAAGTTGTCCAGCCTTCCTTGTGTCTGCTTAGAAAACAGAATGTTGACAACTGGCCACAGTTCTTAAAGCTCCTCTCATTACTCTACTTACCAATCTATAAATATAGTAAAATACCGTATTTGGTCTCAATCTGTACTCTGCCATTCAGACAAGGCTGGCATCCTGTAGCATTAGTGCTGCATCAGAAATGAAAGATCATGCAGCTGAGACTGTGGAAAGACTCTTTTGCTTTCAAGATATAAATCTTACAGCTTTACATTTCTTGCATAAGCTTTGCCTTTATTGTTGTGCATGTGTGTTTGACAGAGTGAGAGTATGTAGTGTTACAAGGTCACATGTAAGAGGGTCACAAAAGGGAGATGAAATCAGTAGATTACCTTTTTGGTTATCATTAAAATAAGTCAAACAGGAGGGTCCATTAGGCTTAAAATGCCCCCTTCCTCCTCTTCAGCCTACCCCTAGCTCAGTCTGTCCCTGTGGTTTTGAAGGACTTTTATTACTTTTTGTGCAAGGAGGAAAAGTGGACCATTCAACTGCCTTTGCTTTTTCTAAGCAAAGTTTTGTTTTTGTCAAGTACTGAGAAAGGTGCAAAGTCCATTTGTCTTCTACTTCACATAAACCTTCTGGAACTGCAGTGTTTTGTTTGATATCCTGTATTTTATTTTATTTTTAAGACCTTCTGCTAGCTTTTCTTTTCGAGTGCATTTGAAGAGGAGTTTGTCTCCCAGGAAATCTGTATAAGCTCATTTTATGTTTGTTTATCAGATGCTTTCTGTAAGAAACTGCTAATTAATTGCTAATTGATAAAAATGAAATAGGCTGCCAGAATTCCCCAAAGCAGCAAGCAGCAACTGAAGCCAGCACTTTGGAAAAGCTTTTCCAGAGACAGTTGGTCTAACAAATACATTGACCCAAAGATTCAATTGCTTCTTCTCATTTCTGGTTTTGTACTTCCTTCCTTGTACCTTATGCCTCTCCACATGTTATTAACCCCTGACATTACTGTTGTAAACGATGAGAAAAATAAACCACTCATGTGGTGTGCTTCTAATGAGCTCAGAATTGTGTCTGAAAGGTAAGATTTTGATGTTCTCTTGTGTGTTGGTACCATTTTGATTACTTGGCCCCACTGACCAAATGGAATGTGTGTGGCTGCCAGCCAAATATTTGAATCGCTGATACCTACCCTACGGCAACAGATAAAGCTCAAGAACCTTCCAAAGTTCACCTACTAGTAACAGTGTGTTTCTATTTTACTGTTTTCCCTCTCCAGTAGAATTAAATGACATGAAGCCAAGTCAGTCAGAGCGTCAAAATCCTTTTCAAGAACAGCTGTGCCTCCAGTACAGGTACATCTATCATGGACTCAGCTTTTTTCTTTTTGATTTAATAAGAATGAAACCACTTCACTACCAAGTTCTCAGGTTTATCAGCACTCCCAGAAATAAATCCTGTCTCTGATAAGTTTGTTTTCTCTCTGATGGAGTGTTTTGATTTTTGGAATAAAAGAAGGTCATTGCTTTGAGATAGTTTTGTTGCACTTAACCTGTCTCATCAAAATTCATATTCAAATGCTAAGAGACTTTAGTCACACGACAAAACCATGTAAGTACTTTGTGAATAAAGTTGTATATATCTATATTTAAGTATTCTTTACATCTGGGCCAAAGTGTGAATCTATTTGGTTCCATATTTTTGAGTAATAGAAGAGAACTGAGAGAGTGATTACTTACACAGAGGTATGTGAGTGAATTTTTTTCTGATTTGCTAACCAGGAAAAAATGAATTCCTGAAGCTATGACCTGAAGATTAACTTCTAAAGTTTTACTCCTGCAAAGGAAAAGTGAGCATTCTCCCAAACATTTGTGCTTCACTTTTTTAAAATTTCAAAGTCAGGTAAATTTTTTATCAAAATGTCACTTCAAAATACAGCTTTAAAATCTACTCAACATTTTTCACTATCAGTGTGAAAAGCCCTATCTTGACTACCCCAAAAATGTTGACGTTGTGTGTTGGAGTCAGTTTTTGTTTACTTTCCTTGTTTTGGAGTGAAGATTCACAGCATGGAAGAGATCCTGTAATATGAGTTTCTTTATCACTGCTCGCTGCACATGGAAGAGTTATGTGCTAAAGATTCTCACATAGATTTCCTTGAGTAAAAAGTGAATGAGTAAATGAAGGCAAGGAGAAACTTCCTGGGAGGAGCATGCCACTAGCTGTGCCTCAGTTGGATGCAGAAATAAGAACAAGTCGTCTTGACCTGTGAATCTCAGAACCTAAGGCTCAGCTAATGCTTTGGGTTCTGCCTAACACAAAGGTTCAAGAGACAGACCTGGAAAGGGGTCAGGAGAGGGAAGAGATGTGGCTCTATAGTGCCAGCCAGTTTGCTTTTCCATGAGAGAAAATCCAAAGTGTCCCAAACTCCTAATTTCTTCCTGCTGGCAAACATCTATGTAGCTCATTAACAGAGTGCCTCTTTCCCTCTGTGGAGCTGGTCCTTGGGGAGGATGATAATGTGTTTCTGAGCATTCATTAGCTCAAGAAGCAGTGAATAAGAAAGCTCTAGCTGGGGGCCAGTATTAATCAATATGAGGAAGTTTGGGATTTTTTTTACTCTTTTCTGGCAAATGAGCAAAAGATGACATGCCTCCATCTTTCAACTCCTTTATCTTTAATAGACATTGAGATTTTTTTATAGTGAGAAAACATTCAAAAGCAAGCAAAAAAAAAAAAAAAAGAACAACATAGAGAAATAAGTAGAAAAATAGAAATTTTGTAAACTGCATAATGCAAGGTCATTGTGGTTTTTAGCTTCAGGTCTTCTGCCTTACACGATGCCTGGTGTGTATCTGATTTGGGAATGAACCAAGGTCTTTTCAAAGGCATCCTGCTGAGTTTATTCAAGAAAATGGAAACTGAGACTAGCATTAAAGGAAAAGTGTCCCAATCTGACAGTGGATTGCATTCTGGAGAACTGGGGTCCATTTCTAATTTTTCCACAGAGGAAAATTTTTCCGCAGTTTTGTGTGGCACTAGACAAACAGGTAGACCAAAGTTTTCTCAGGCAGCCTCTGTGTTACCCATTTTCCATTTATCTGACTTGGGAGTTCTGATTTATAAGAGCATAGAGATATTGCAGTTGCAGCTGGAGACTTGGCAATTTGTCATTTGAACACAAGTTTAGATATTTCTAAATATCAAAAAAAGCTCTCTGGAAAATCAGATACTAGTACTTCAAACAGGATATTCAGACTGATAAATATTTATCCTTAATCTCCTTGTGCTGAAATTGTCCCTCTTTACGTTGAGAATGATAGCATCTGTCCCATTTCTCCCTGCACACACAGAAGGAGGTGAAATATCCTGTGGTGAGAATGGGGGCCAAATTGCACCAATGAGATGTGAAACATTTGTTTCACGAATAAAGAAGCTCGTAATCTTTCCTAAACAGATAAAAATACAGCTGTTGTTGGGGATGAAAGTTTGGAGAAGTTAAAGAGAAAAGCTCAGTTCTACAGGGCCTGGAGATGATATTCCTGGTGGGAATACTGCTTGACCAACAGGGTGTGTTGAAATCAATGCACATCTATTGACTTAACTGAGTTGGGCCCCAGAGCAAGGAAAGCTCTTTCTGGGGCTCCAGATCCTGAACTCTCATTTACTCACATAAGTTTGGTAGATTTGTGTTGGATATATCCTTCTAATCACATTTAATTCTGAATGATGTATCTGGAGCGGTGCAGTGGTGCAGGGAGAAGGCTTAAGCTGTGTATGGGAACTGCTGAATCACAGCCTGAACCTCTGATTGATCACCTGAGGCAAGCACTGAGTCAGCCAGAGGAGCACAGGTGAAGGCAATTCACCTGTGCTGCCCAAAGGGGTGGAGCCTGGCTGCATCTCTCCTAGACCCATTTAAGTGCTGACTGCTAGTGGGGAAGGCTCTCTTCTGGAGATCTACTCTGCTGGAGTTTCACAGTGAGCCTAGGATATGGGTGAGCATTCTGTCTGTTCTGTTTTGGTGTAATAACTGCATGGCCGAGCTTTCTGGTACATTTTGTAACTATCACATATGTGCATTCATTGATTATATAAGCTGCCTTTTGAAAAGGTTTGATCTAATCTCATTTCATTACGCGCAACTACTGATCTACCTCCTGTTGCAATAGTTGTAAAACCAATGAGAAGAATACTTGTCTTGCTGTCTTTAGCAAAGCTGTGTGGCTGTGGCACTACGCTCTGAGGATATATTTTCAGAAGAAAAATGGTACCAAATAAGAGTCTAGAGATACAACTTGTCTGTTTTAGGTGAAGAAGGATTGTCTGTCCTTTTTGAATATTGAGCGTTCTTTACAAAGGCAGGTTTGAAATGCTTTATTGATTATGCAGGAGGTCCAGATAGCTAGGTAACCAACAGCACAAACATCTGGGTAGCAGCCGTATGATGAGCAGTATGTGTTTCCAGACAGCTGAAGCTCATCAAGAGGATTAAAATTTTACTGAAGTTGCCTTCTTTCTTTTGTTATAGCTCTCTGGTACAAACATCTTGCAGGCCAGAGAACATCTGATTTGTTTTAGTTCTTCTTATGTTTCTATTTCGTAATATCACTACTGATTCAGTCTGCAAGTTCAGTTAATACCGAATGACACATCCTACCTTCTACATGCACACAGTAGCATTCAAGCAGCACTGAGTATGAACAGTGGCACAATGCTACTTCTGGCATAGGGAGGGAAAAGAGATTTTTATTGCCAAGCCCTAGAAGAGCAGAAGAATTACTGATATAGCTAAAGCAAAGAAGAGAGAAAAAGGTATGTTCCATTTCACTGTAGGCTCCAGCATTAGGAATGAGGAAGCAATGTTTCTGCTTCTCTGAAGCAGAATGGTTGACTCTGTGTATTAGATTCATCTTCACAAAGACCCTGCGAAGTTTTGTAGGCTTTTCGCAAAACCCACATAATACTGATGCAGTCCTAGGATCATTTGAGCTTTGTTATTAAAGCATGGGTATTTTTGTCTGTCTCAAAGCATGGATTTTTCTCTTAATTCTGTAGTAAACAAAAGCTAAGCTTTGTAAGTTCAGTTTTACTTGGTGAGTTCTATTTTTATCTGAATTACACAATGCAGAAAGAATTCAAACTTAACTTGGCTTGCCAACCCTCCGGTATATATCTGTTTGTGGGAAGGATATCATGATTCTCTGGTAGAATGAGTTTGACAAATTGGAGACAAACAGGTGTGTCTATATGCCCATATTCATATACCTCTTGTTTTGTGCCTGGATCTTAATCCCCAGATGCCCATGTTACCCAGTGGTAGGACTCTTTTTTTGTTTCCTTGGATTGGTATTAGAGTGAGTGGGCTGCTGCTTTATAACAGGTGCTGATTTATAACAGGCTCTCTTCTGCTGTTAATAGAGGCAGAGAAGCAGATACAGCTGTAGAAGGTTGCTCTCCTATGGCATCTTGTTTTCCCAAGAATTGCAGCGATGCAGGTTTGCAGTCATACCCCAGCTCTGATTGCTTTGATCTAGGTAGCTAGACTGTGTAACCTTTCACATGCATCTATCACAGAGCAGATTTGCAAAATCTGCAGTGATTTCACAGGATGCAGGAATTTCACTCAGCTTTGCTCATGTTTCCCACAGTAAATAATTACAATGTTAATGTTAACTTCTGGACCAGATATGCTTGCCTCCACTATTCTGGACTGGGACTTGTCTGTGGTTTCTGTTAATGAAACACCTGCTTTATGCTGTATTTATTATAAAATCTTTACTATCATGATGTGGGTCCTTGTTTCATAGACCTACCTGGGACAACTTGCCTCTAGGATATGTAATAGGCTATGTATTACTTCCTGAAGGCTGGTGTTTGTTTTACAATCAATTTGTGGCTACCAAAGCATTTAATGATAGCATATTGTGATTTTCTGCCTTTATAATCTGCACCATGGTTTCCCATATGCTCAAAGTGTAGTACATCTGTTCCATTTCTCATGTGAATGGCAGTTTTACAGGGCACAGAGCTGCTAATAAAATTACTTTTGACAGTTCAGCTGCAGTAGGAAGTCCTTACAGCTTCCAAACTTGTAAAGATGCTTAATTTATCTTTAATGTTTAGGTGTTTACTCATAATAGAATTAAAAAACATGTATTATCTTGTAAAGCAAGCTGGAGTAATGGCCCATTATTTTCTAATGGAAGGTATTTCTTTCTCATTAATCACCACACTAACTTTTCCTATCTAACCTAGAGATACACAAATAGGCATATTAGATAAGTATGCATTTGAAGATAGGCAGATGCTTTGAGAAATAGATGAGGGACAAGCTTAAAGGAGTTCAGTATTTAAAAGCAGAGACCGCAGATATCACTGAATCAAGTAACGAAATGGAAAAGAGCAAGACAGATGTAAGCCAATCAATGGCTGTTTCATGAGAGAGAGCAAGTTTTTCCATAGGTAAACTTTTGTCACCCAATCCTGGCAGCATGACATGGGGCAATGTCTTTGTGTAGGAATAATGATGTAAAAAAAAAACTCAGTACTGGAAATTGGAACCATTTTCAAAAAAAAATAAAAATTCTGTCTATAACAGAACTTTTGAAATTCTGAATTTTGTTTATTTAAAAAAATATATTTGACTGCTTTCTCCTTGGACTTTTGAATAGTTTTGACTGAAGCTAGAACAATTTTTTGTTTGGTATTCTTAAAGTAAGCAGAAAAAATGATCTTATTAGTAGACTTAGCTAATGGAAATCCTCAAGAAATCTATGTACTGTCAAATATTTTATAATGCCACAGATTTATGTAAAGTTGAGGATTACTGGAGGAGGACAAAAGCAATTCGGTGGACTCCTATGCCAACAGTAGGCTTAGCAGTAGAAGGAATAGCAACACAAGGACTGCAGAATGGGTGTAGAAATTTGGTGCCAGTTTCTTCCTTTGTGAGAACACACACTATGCCTCCTGTAAGAAAGACATGAGTGGGTGTTTCTCAGAATCAATCTTTCAGCTAAAATCCTTTATTTCCATTAAAATTTTCAGTGCAAATTATTAAATTTCGTATTAGACATATCAGGTAAAATCTGTAATACTTCAAAAAGTAACTTCTAAAATGAGTTTACATGTCTCTAATCAATGTCCACCTACATTACTTTCAATGCTCTTTGGACCTCCTTTTGTTGGAATTGCTCCCATAGATTGTGCTCTGCTACCATGGTGGGGGGCAGAGAGGAAGGTGGAGGTGAAATAGTTATTTTAAACCCTCTTATTTTTATTCACTATCTGTTATACTGCTTCATAGCCAATATATAGTGGTGGCTTTTGTAACTTCTCTGGGATTAATGGAGTATTGAAGAAACAATGAAAATTTCACAGTTGTTTAACTTGTTGCTTTATTTCTCCTCCTGTGTTGGTAATATAATCCTGCAGCATCTGTTCTTAATGATAGCCATAATAAGCATGTTGGATGCAGCACACATCACCATTCATAATAAGATAGTGCATCACAGATTTCTGAAAGAAGGAGACACAGCTTGTTTGGCAAAAACTTTAGATAGTTACAACATTGTTTCTGCTCTCAGAGAGTAGTCTGGTTCTTGGGAACGGAAGGAAACCAGAACGGCCTCTCCTGCAAACGCATCATGGCAGGTCCATTCCCTGCCCAGCAGGAGCCCAGCTGTTGTTGCCCAGCAGATTTTCCCAAAACTGAACCTTTATCATATGAAGCTCTTCCACTCAGCAGGAATCTGCTGCTCACTGATAGTATGCTGGATTTGTTTATTGACAAGAAAATACAGGACCATGATAGATGATTCATGCAGAGTAAGTACAACAAATAATGATTCAGCAGTTATTTGAAGCCTTGTGTATGTGAGACAATATCCTTATGCAGTATGAAAATCTACATCGCATTTCTAAGTGGTGACACCCAAAGGAAACATCCATCCCATCTCACCCACTTTGCCCAGCAACTGGCTCAGATTGGTTATGCTTACAGTAGCTTCAAAGAAGTCAGCAAGCCTTTGCACTTGCCATCACTTTTGGGGATTTGTTGAGAAGACATGAAAATATTTTCAAAGTATGTCCAGGCTGTGTGAGATTCATGATAGCAAGCAAAAGAATTAATATTCATCTGAGATAAAAAGGTATTTTGATGGAAGATGTCCTGTGCACACTAGAACTTCACATTCTGCACCTATAAATAGAGTTAGTTCAGGATTCTTTTTTTTTTTTTTTTATCATTCTAGAAAGGCTCTGCCCTCCAAAATACATCCAGAAGTTGTCAGACTTGTGTCTTTCACTGTTATGTACCCAAAGGCATACAAAGGGCACTTTTGCCTACAGAGCGGAAACAGTCTCAGCCCTCTGTTGTATTTGTCGGAATACTGTGCAACTGCCAAGTCCTGGATTTCCCTCTGCTGGTTTTAACACAGAAACCAAATAACAGATTTTCTTTCTAACTTTCTTTCATTTGTTGTCCTTGTTGTCATTGTGTTTTTGTATAGTTCACATGAAGCTAAATAAATATAAAGGGCTGATACTCAGAGAAAAATGTCCTCGTAAGTCTGTGCTGATTACAATCTTTTAAATCATGATTGAGAATTAGAAGTTTGCTTCTTGCAAATTTCTGTAGAGCAGAAATTTCTATTCTGTATTCCAAAAATCACAGAAGCCAACCTGGGCTCATCAGTCTGCTGTGCTTGGTGCACTCAGCACACTTAGGTGCTTGCCTCTGTACTCTTATACTCTCTTTCAGTCTCTCAGAACACAATCTGAGCGGATATTGAGCTATATGGACCTGCTGCTGCTATTCACTTTTATCTATCTTCTATCAGTTCCAAATTGCAGTGAAAAGGCTGACATTGCAAAACTTCTAGTGTCATAAACTATGATATGATATTTCTGATACAAAGAAATCTTATTTTAATCATATTATCATATAATAATAATAATATATTATTATAATCATATATGTAGAGAGTCATCTTTTTAGGTAATTTACATCTGTGCAGGTAATAATCATAATTTCTAAAATTGCTATAGGAACACATAAGCTTTTTATTTTGTTAGTTTCAAGGAGTCTCAATTATTTTGACTTAGACGTTCAAATGTGAAGTGCATTATGGTATATCTATAATTGTAGGTGTCAAGTTGAAATCAATGTTTAACATAATATTAAGCTTCTAAAAATACGTCAAGATAATACAGGAGATGTGAAAACCTTCAGCTTTTCTTACTTACATCTTACTCACGCAGCACTTTGCAGTTTTGATAAAATTTCATCAGAATGATTTAGTGTTGATGTGCTTTGACTTTGTATTGGGGTTTACCTTTAGGGAAATTGCATTTCTGGGAGGTGTTTATTTCACCCATGCTTGCCACCCAACATTTGCATTCAGCTTGGAAGTGCCCCTTCTTTCAGGAGGTTGAGCAGGAGCCTTTTCAGGTCGTGATTTGGTGCAGGAGCCTGACATGAGTGCTCTCAACTGCCTCCTATCCTTTGGCTATAAAGTGAGATTAATTTCCTCAAACTTGGCACATGGATTGACCATTTCATGTGAATATCCCTTTGTGCCATTGTCTTATGATGCTCCACAGGCAGAGTTGCCACTGGTTCTGCTAGCCTAAGTCTGTAAACGATCGCAATCAGGATCACTGCTACAAGGGGCCATAAATCCCCCACAGCAGGACTCTCCAGCTGTGCTTATTCAACTCCTTTTGCAATCAGGCCTGACTCTTGAATTTTTAGGCACTGTAACAACACAGGAAATAGCCCTTGGCCACTGCATGCTGATGCAGAGCCCAGGAGACATGGCTCTGCAGCTAGAAAGTGCTGCCCAGGACAGTTGTGATGGGCTCATGTTCCCAGCACACAGAGACACTGAAAAACTGTACAGATATGGGAGCAGCTATCAAAAACCTAGGTGGCTGAAAGACCTTAACCAGGTTAAGTTTTCTACCAGGCTGCCAAAGCTGAAATGGTGAATACTTTTCTCACCCCATGCTGGCAGGATTTAGGCAGCTGCACAGCATGATGTTGAGTGACAATCATTCACACATTTTTACTGTGTAACTTGGAAATGTCTTTAGTACTGTGTAGTACTGTGTAAGTACTGTGTCTTTTAGGCCCATTTACAGCATCTGCTTGCAACTGTGCATTTAAATGTAGCCAGCAGGTAACAGAAGAATCATTTATCATCCTCTGTCTTCCTTGTGTATGAAACCAATTGCTACTGATAGCTACAATGGCACTTCCAGGCAGATTAACCAGAACAACCTACTTCTGTGTCAGGCAAGGAAATCTGTGGCCTTGCAACTCTTTCAAGATCAGCAGAGAAAGCTGACCAGCAAGGCTGAGAATGCCAGCTGCACAGCTAAACCAAAAACAGTCTGCATATTTTGCGCATATTTTAAGAGGACCCTGAGCGAAAGCAATAGGACTGAAAAGGGCTCACTTTTTCTGCAGGTTCTAGCTCACCTGCACTTGTTGAAGTATTTTCCTTCTCTTGCAGAAAGGAAGGATTTCTCTTACTTTTCACAGCCCCAAGCAGAACTTAGCAGTTTAGTAACTGCAGGCTAAGAGCGGCTTCACAAAGCAGAAAACTTACAGAACCACCTCTGGAGCACAAAGTGCAACTCTGAGAGCAAATAAATAATTCCAGGTCTAAATCACAGCAGTAATCCTGGCATCTTGGATTGACTGTTTCATTTATGAAAGAAAGCATTCATCTCCAGCTCATTATTATTATAGAAGACAGCATAGCTCACTTTCTTGAGGTTTACACAAATCTGTTTTTTCTGTTTTCCACATTAATTTCCATCATCTGACAGTGGCTCTATATCCCTACGTCCCAAACCCTAACTCTATATCCCCACCTTTAAACAGGTTAAAGCCTCTCAATAGATTGTTTGATACTACTGAGATGTCTTAGTTTGAGAGACACACAGGGAAGTCCCTCTTTATGGTGCTATTTGTTCAGTATGGAGGATGATGCCAACAGCACTTGCTAGAAATTGAAATGTGTGGATCATTACCATTTTGATAAAGTTTTCACAGGAGTGAATATCACTGCATGCTCATTTTGCAAGGGTAATGGATTTGGTGTGCTGCTGTTGACATGATGGCTGCAGAGAGGGAGGTATGTGCTGCCTTGCTGTGAGGAGATTCCTCATAGGCATTTGTCAGTTGACAAGACTTCCCACAACCCTCACTTTTCCTCTCATCTCTCTGCATGTTACATGGCAGTTTATCTTTGTGCCTTTGGCAATGGTAATTACTGGCTATGTTAGCAAAAAGGTCAAGCTCTGCATGGATTTATTTTGTCCTGAACATCATGATTTTGTAAGAACAATTCATGTTTTGCTCTTCTTTCCTAGGCTGTGTGTTTCACGTAGTGAGATAAGACAGGAACACCATGTCTAGGGAGCTCAAAATTAGGCAGGTGATTTCTGGGGAGCCTCCGGGCCAGCATGCAGAGAGGGGCATGAGCACAAGCTGCAGCATGGACATGAAAAGACATTGGCCTGATATCATGCAGGAAATTCCTTGAAACTGAGCTAGTTACAAGCCCCTCAAGGGAACTACACTGATGGTGCTGATGATGCCTAAATGCTTTCTATCCCCCTAGCTGATGGAAAAAGCTGAGCTGGATAAGCTCTTTCTGATGAAACCTTTGCTAAGATTCAGGTTTATTTGTTAAAGGGGATCTTTATTTCATCTCAAAAAGGAGATCTTGGAGATCAAGCATCAGGTCAAATCAGTCACAACACTTAAAAGCACTGTTGTACACAACTGTGAGTTTAGTATAAACGTTGCTCAGGATTTTCCCTCTTTTTGCTTTGTTTAAAGGGGACAATGAAAAACTAAATGTTTCAAATGAGGGAGACTAAAACACCATTTCAAAACGTTCTGTGCTTCATATAAAGCTTTTCTCTTCATATAAATTTGGTTTGAAAACTTTGTATTTCCAGAATAAACTTTTCATCAAGTTTGTGTTCCATCAAGTTTCAGTGTTCCACTGAAAAACTTCCAGTTGACTTTTGTTGGACCATCCTTAAAGCACCTATCCAACTACTCACTCACCAACCAAAACCATAATGAGTTACATGAGTGTAATGCAGGCACAACTTCTCTAAGCGTTGTATTTCAGCCAGTGGGCAGAGAAAGCAAAGTGGTAAACCGTGATTGATGGCATAATCTGGTGTTGATTTCATTATAGTGAATACTGAGTAGTAATTACAGCCGAGCCAAGTAATGGTCTGTTGAGATGATATTTTTCTATAGTGCCCTACAGTTTCCTGCCACAGGTTAGACTGTCTTAACAGAAACATGTTCTTCAATTAACATCTCAATGCATAGAGCAGATTGTTTCAGCTTAGCTGTTGATTTAAAAGCTGTTTTGTCTTTAGGCTTGGGAGACGAATTCCCTTCAAATGTATTAAAGTGATTTATCAAGTAGAATATCTCCTTTTCATCCCTGCTTTATCCCTTCCTCCCCCCCATATAAGTTGTAATGTCAGAATCCTAGATTTTTCAGGACTTCAGATTCTGCATGGCTGATAAGAGTGTTTCATGTGTATACACAAGCTAAAATCAGAACTTTTTCATTCTGTGTGATCTGTTTTGGCAACCACACGTTATCTGAGGTTGTTCACAGTCTATAGATGTCAATATGCTTGTGAAGTATTAGTACAGATGAAAAGTCCTGCCACACATTTTCTTGATGTGTGTACTTAGGAGTGTGAACTCATTTACACGATGAGTCAAGAGCAAATCAGTAGCAGATGGTATAGCTGCAGATCTGGATTTGCACTTCCTTGTTCAAACCACTGGGTGTTTCTCTTCTTGCAAGGACAGAAGTGTGATCCTCAACCAGGGACTAACAAGGAGTGATTTAAAAAAAAAAAAAAAAAAAAAAAAACAAAAAACCCACAACTGTATATTTGTAATATACGATATAGAAGATTGATGTGGAAACATCTTTGCAACCAAATAACACTTGAATACAAGAATTTTGTTCTAACAAACAGATCATTGTAGAACCAGACCCCAAGTAAACATATCAAAATGTATCTTCAAACAGTGTTCTCTTCCAAGTACAAATTCTCCCATTTTTCTTTCATTTTAAGTAGTTCTCATCTGTTTCAGATGAGAAAAAGAACTGGAAGAATTTCTGCTTTGAAGCAACACTCATTTTGCTTGCATGTACATTTGGAACTCATCAAAGCTACATCAAAGAGTTTTATCATGTCTGTGCATCAAACAAGTAATGACAGAGCAGCAGTTTTAAGAGCAAAGCCTGGAGCTTCATCTTCACCTTTGTATTTGAATAAGGCTTTCAGAAGGAGAAAAACAGGTAAATGCAGTATTTTCTTCAAAATGAGAGGACTGGTCTTTAAAATAACTTTTACTTTATCTGAAAACAAAATCCAACAATTAAAAATAATCCAATCAGATATGGAAAGAAATGTTCAACTTTCTAGTATTAAAAGAAATGTTGAAGAATGATGAAATAATGTTTCTTTAGTGAAACATGAAAGTATGTTCAATCTTTCAGTTTAAATTTACTCTTTGTCTCCTAGTGCGATCTATAGCCTATATGGTCCATGCGGATGCAGTCTGACGGTACCCTGCAGCACTCACCTCATCAGAATTATCACTGTATGACAGCTCACTGCCTTGTAAAGAAAAGATCCTTTCTTTTGGAATCTTGCTCTTGAGGTAACTACAGTCAACAAGCTCCAAAGCCTTTTCTTCTCCCGTGATATACATGGGATAAAATTTAAATTAACATCTGAAGAGTATTTTTTCTTCTTTTCCTGTTGTGAGAACAGGACATCACAGCATTTTAAAGCCATGTCAGTATCACTGACCCAAAGTTTTGTCCTAGCTTAATTGGTTCAGGCATTTTTAAAATATCCATTGGTATTCATAAGAAGGCATTTTGCAACTCCTCTCTGTTGTCTCCTGTGCACTCAGCACCCAGAAGACCTGTTTGGTATTTATCTCTGAACCTTAACATCAATTGAGAGCTCATGATCTATGCAGCAAGGTGAATATGAATAAATTCTGGCAAGCTCCTCAAAGTCAGAAGGAAAAACAGTCACAGGAACCTCATACAGGTGCTGAAAATGCTTTTTCATAGGGTCTATTTGCAAGTTAAAATTCTACTGTTAAAACTCTTGAATTGTTTTTTTTGGGTTGGGTTGTTGAGTTTAGTTTCTTACTCCTTTTCACATTCTATTCTACAGTATTTTAATCAGGGATAAATTCAGAGGCTTTCTGAAGTACTCATTTTGTCTCTTTTAGTTTTGCAATAAAATATTAAGTAGATTGCAGTTCTTCCATTTGGAAAAGAGAATGCAATGAATGTTACAATACTGAGCTGTAAGACCATGATTAGTAAAGTGAAGGATTATTTCTTGCAGTATGAGATGTACTCAGTAAAATTAATGGCAGGATTAAAACTGATAAAAGGAATTACTTTCCTGTAAAATTTACAATTAAATTCTGAGGCTCATTTTTGCAGAAATGCATCAGTGTATATAGCTCCTTTGGCGTTTACAGAGCCCGCTGAACCAAATTCAACTCTTGGTCTAGAAACTTGTAAGCTGCTGGTTGGGCATGCCTCTATGCAGTGTCCATGAGGTCCCACTGCAGCTTGCTGATAAGATGACCTTAGGCATGGTGCTGGTGGAGAAGTTCCTATATTCTTATGTTTGTGACTCCTAATGTCATGATGTCAACTTATATCACATTTATGTTTTCCTTCAGTGCAAAGAATCAAAATAATGCTACAGTTGTCTTTATTTAAAATAATAAAATCATTAGATTATTCTGTTAGATATGAAAGTCTATTGCCAATCTGAGTTTAAACTCTCCAGAAAAGTGACACCACTGAGTCACAATTCATGCTCTAATTTTTCTCATTTTCTGTGACTGGGCATGCATCTTCTCACTAATTATTGCAGACATATAGCATGGTGTTACATGGAGTCAATGCATAACTTTCATATTGCTTCACACTTTCTGCTTTCAGTCAATTCCACTTGACTCCTTTGCAAAATCTAGATTGAGAAATCTTCCAGTGCTAGATAATCACGTGCCTACTAAGACGCTGTGAATGAACCTTATGATTCTATTCTATGAATAGCATTTTATAGAATCCTTAGAGTTGGAAGGGTCTTTTAAAGGTCACCTAGTCCAACTCCTCTGCAGTGATAAGGGACACCACAGCTGGATCAGGTTGCCCAAGGTCTTATCCAGCCTAGCCTTGAAAGTCTCCAGGGATGGGGCATCAACCACACATCTGTTCTGGTGCCTCACCAACCTCACTGTAAAAGACTTTTTCCTTATATCTAACCTAAATCTACCCTCTTTAAGCTTGAAGCCATTTCCCTTGCTCTATTATAACTGACTGCTAAAGAATCTGTCCCCTCTTTTCTGCAGCTTCCCTTTAGATATTAAAAGGTCTTTACATATGTATATTTACATATATGCCCCAGCAGCCCCACTGACTTCCCTCCAAAGGGAAGGAAAACACTTGTTTGGCAGCCCTAAGCAGTGGTCACCTGGAGCCACTAGGTCTTCCTCCCCACTCTGACCTGGAGTACCATAATTCCTTTTCACACACAGTTTGAGGCCCCTGAAGGTAAAACCACAGACTACTTTTCTGTATCATAAAGGAAAAGCTACTTACCATTTTCGGTTTCACTGAAGCACAGTTTCTAGCAGGGGAATTTGGTACTTCAGCTGGAGTAGTTCTCGGATCTCTTCTACTGTCATTTAATGAATGAGAGTACTTAAGCTGGTAATCAGTCATAACCTCTGTAGTTTTGCACAGAGATTTTCATCTACAAGGTCAACTAAAGTGAGTTTCATATAAGAAGCTATTTTTAAGTATGCACTGGATTTTCAGCAGAAGTTAAATCTTATAATGAGAGGTTAATGACTCTGTACATAGAGTTGAATTTGTGTCATGTCATTTCCTCATGCAGTATTCCAGGTTGCCACATTTCTGCTACACAGATATCAGCTTCCCTCAAATGATATACGAGATTATTTAGGAAATAAATTCATTAAGATAAGAACTTCTGTAAATATAAAAAAGAAAATCTTAAGGATGTATTGTGCGTGTTCCAAGGCGTAACTCAATAGTTGCCGGTTAGGCTTCAAGAGTACCCATGATAAGGCAGAAGAATCTGCTTCCATCTGTTTCATTTGCCTGAGAATTCCACAAAATCTAATTTGGAACAGATTTCTGGCATGTGGGACTGAGGGAGAATACATTCACTCCCAGTCATTGCCTGATGAATGTTTCTCCATCACTCATTGTAACCTCAGCCACACCATCCTTTAGCAATACACATTACCAGCATGTCCTGTGGGCTTCTTAATTTGGCAAGAACTGCATGAGCTTCTGAAGCAGCTGAAGACAATGGTAAAAAATATATGGCAAGATATTTGGTATGAAAGAGCTGCCCAGCAGTTCTAAGTTCAAATTATCTATAAATAGCAAAGGCCTTTTATGTTTTTGATACAACATTTTTTTGTATGGATTTGAAGCAGTTCTGACTTCAACCAAATTGCACCTTTCACAGAAAATCATATTTGAGGGGAAGGGTACCAATCAGATTTTGCACCTTTACTCAGGTTGGATGCCACACTGTCCCACTGGTTTCCTCATCAGTGCTGATAAATCTGTGCAAGAAGTGAATAAGGAAAAAAGCATCCTGTTCAGGATGAGGCCCTAAGTCCAGTGTAGGTTTATAGAGCCATAGTTTTTATGCAGAGCATGTCATCTATTTCTAAAGTAAGGCTACTAAGATTTTTAAGTGGCTGGAGTTGACATCTTACATGAAGTTTAATCCTGTTCTCCTCCTCAAAAATAGTTTATTAAGATATTAATTGAAGAAGAAAAAAGCAAAAATTTACTTTTCATGCTCACTTGCTTGTTCTGCTTGATACAGATAGATACCACTGCTCCTGTTTAGCTGTATTTGTGCAGCAAAGGATGATAATGCCATCAGATGCCCATACCTGTTTGCTCATCCAAGAGATGATTGCAAGTATTTGAATTCTTTATAGAGAGCACTACTGAAAAAAAAAAATGTATATATACATTTTACCTTCTCACTACTGCCCTCTAAAAAAGAAGATGAATTCTGAGCAAAGATAACATTTTAAAACTAGTTTTATTTTTAGATTTTAATACCTTGCACTATGTAGTTACCCTAACTCCTTAGCTTACCGTGTGTGCATTTGCAAAGCATCACCAAAGGGAGGAATTTTCAGACTCCATTCCTCCATGTGTTAAGAACATGCAGAAGACTTCCCTCAGAGTTCCAAGCTTTTTAAGCCCTACTGTCAAGCCAGAAAATCGCTGTAGATTGTATATACAGATTTATGAATAAAAAGCTTGCACAGTCACATCACTGGTAATGCATCTTTTTTGTTCCTCACTTAGGCAAACCTTGAAAATTCCAGTTGTCCAGGAATAGAAGCTTATCTTGTGTCTGTATATACAATATCAGAAAGATCAATCATTGGGAGGTTTCACAGGCTTGCATAAATGCATGGAAACCAAGAATCTTCCTGTTAAATTCTCTCTTATTTAGAAGCAGGCACCCAAGACAGTAAATCAACCTTTTAGTATGCAACAGGTTTATGGCTGATTTGATTTTGAACACTACGTTGTCTTCCATTACCATAGGTGTGTGAACAGGGATGGCTGAGCAGCACATAATTTCTCTGGAGGCACTCCAATTCGCATCCTTTCCTTGGGCATTTGTTGTGACAATTCACTCACTGTTGCCAGCAGGCAGATGCATCTACTTTAAAATAGCTGTAATATTATGCAAATCTTAGAAGCTGTTATGAGTAGCTGTGGTAGGAGATGCTAATTCAATGCTTTTTAGGAAATAAAAAAAATGTATTTATTTTAGCTTGAATGTAGTTTTTGAGCTCAGTACTACTGAGTGGATCCTTCAGGCCTTGGTCTCACAGCAGCAAATTTATGGTCAGATACCACAGCCAGCCCAGGGCATGGGTGTTGGTACTAGGAAGGTCTGAAGGGAATCGCAGGGCAGAGTATATTGGTGAGCCCTTGGTCCCTGTGGTATAGATTTGGCTTTTCCCTCAGCAGCACCATGAAATTTTTCACCTGCACAGATATCATTTGTTTTGGGAAACCTCAGATCTGAATCTCAAAATTCAACATTCTGTTCTCTAGCACTGGTTATCTGCTCTACGACTAGAACTGCCAATTTTGCTGATCACACTTTCTTTTTCTTAATTTTCAGACTTTATAGCAGGTAGAAAAACCATCTAGAGCAAGCAACCTGCGATTTAGTTGTGCATCAATGGCTCTGAGAGAGAGAATCAAAAAACCAAGTATGGAAGAGACCCCAAAGCCCAGAGTCCCCTGAGCATGTTGCTGGAGCTGTTTCCATTTGAGCTCTGGACATCTCCAGGGATGGGCATTCCTGGTCCTACTATTTACAGCTGTTATTTATGTTCATTTCACAAATTGTTTGCTGTTGCTGGGACCATGTTTGGTGGAGGAAGAAAAAAAAATGAACAGTAAGAATGGAATAACAATTCAACTGTTTTTTGTTTGTTTGTTTGTTTGTTTTTTAAACTACAGTACACAGTGTAGCATAAACCAACAAATGAGAGGATTTTGAGTGGTCTCTGATTCTTCTATATAGTCGACATTTCCTGCCAGCTTCTCTCTGAACTGATCTGAGACTGAGTTTCCAGCTTATTCCCTATAATATTTTCTTGAAGTACTGGCTAAAATGCAGGTGCATTTGACATTGGTCGCATTTCACTTTCCATGTCAGACCTCAAACCCTTTTTATACCTGATCCCCAGAAGTGTTTTCTGATGTTGCAAACAAAACAGAATTTTTGAAATAAATTGGTGACCTCTGGCATTTGAACATCAATAAGAAGATCTCTTAGGGCTCATCCTCTTCAATAAGTAATGCAATAAATGCACAATTGGATCATGCATTACCAAGAGAAAGGTTAAGGGAAAAGGAAATTGTAGAAAATTTTCCATATTCTATTTACCATCTGATAATAAATAATTGTTTTTCTAAGGTTTGCCTTACTTTCAATGTGCTTCAGTCTATATACATTCAGTGTACATTTTCACTTGGAACCTTAAAAACAACTTGAATGTAATATTTTTGTGTTGGTTCTCAATAAAGATGGAGGTCTGTTTTAGAAAACCATTGGGGCTTTACCAAGCCTTGTCTTGGCCTGCCAATGCCCAATCAAGTCTCACACCTATGAAACAATCTTGCAATATGCCCATGAGACCATAAACCATCACTGAGAAGCAGATGGAAATCTTTCCAGTTTGTGAAGCAGAGCCGAAGAAACTGCAGTGGTCTGATTTGTTTTGGTGGCTACTTATTTAAAACTTATTGCAGTGTACCCAAAGCAATCCTTCCTATATGCTTTAAAAATACACAATAGTTGCTGACCAGCATGGAGAACTGAAAGGAAAGCACAAGTTTCCAAACAGGTTTCCCATGAAATTTCCTGATGGGGGATGACACAGATCTTTCTTTGAGCAGTAACCTCTGACCGACACTGAAACAATATTTTCCATGAAATCTGCCAGAAACCAGTGAAGGATTTTCCAAGCCAATGCATAAATATAAATCTTGTTTTGTAATGTAAAAGTCTGCAAATATATATATATATTTATGAGGGGAAAAAAAAATTGAGCTGAACTTTTATTTGTGCTTTTGGGAGATTAGATTTAATTTCTTCTCCACACTTTTTCTCACCTCAGGTGAGAAGCTAATGCCTGCTTGGGATCCTGAAATAGAATCCCAGTGCAAAGAAGGACGTAAGAAAGGGGAAGTCAGACATGGGCATAGGAAAAGACCTGACTACCCAGCTATCTCTTCTGCTGTGCCCATTGGTCACACATAAAAATGAGCCTCCTAGACTGCCAACAAAAATTCCCATCACCAGCCAGTCTAAGACATATTGCTTAGCCATCTTACACATTTCTTAAGTGGCTTTTGAAACATTATATTGTTATTTCTCTATTGGAACTGGTCATCACAAGAGTCAGGCTGGAAGACCAAAATAGAATGAAATGACTGGAAGGGGGAGAATCTCTAGGACTAATTCCTTTCAGCACCTGGTAATGAGGGAGGAGCTATAAGGATGTGACTTACTGCAGTTGGTGCTTGAACAACAATGTTCAGCAGAAAAATTACTGGAGTGCTATTGAGGAACATGCAGTGCTCAGCCACCTGCAGTCTTCGCACAGAGAAGGATTAAAGGTTTAATTTATCTTACATACAGCTGTTTTGAGCAGACTGAATCTCTGGGAACACCCTTCTGCGAATCTCACACTACTAGTAAATAGTCCGAAGCTGTTCTCCACAGTTTCCACATTGGTCTGCAATTGTATGGGAAATTTACTGGGAAAACTCTCAAGCCAAAAAAGCAGCAGGGATCCTGAGGAGGTGACTGGTGTATGGGACATCTTGATAGTTACCTTTTCTCAGAATTGATTTTGATGTGAAACAGTAAGTATCATAGAATCGTAGAACCATAGAATGGCTTGAGTTGGAAGGGATCTTAAAGACTAGGTCTTTAAAATCCAGATCTGTAAGATCCCTTCCCTTCCATGCCACCCACAGAACTGGGCTACCCAGGGCCCCATCCAACTAATCCTTGAGTGTCTCCAGAGATGGGGGATCCATAATCTCTCTGGGCAGCAGTGCAAGGGCCTGACAGTTCTCTGAATAAAAAAATTCCTCACAGTATCTAATCTAAATTTCCCCTCTTTTAGTTTAAAACCATTCCCCCTTGTCCTATCACTATCGTACTGTATGAAAAGTCAGTTTCTCTCTTGTTTATAAACTTTTTTTATGCATGGAAGACCACAGTGAGGACTCCCTGTAGCCTTTTCTTCCCTAGACTGAAACAAGCCTTGAGCTCCTTCAACTTTTCTTTGTAGGAGAGGTGCACCAGTCCTTTGATAACCTCGAGCTTGGCCGCGAGCTTGGATGCAGTACTCCAGATGAAGCCTCATGGGGGCAGAGTAGACGAGGACAATTACTTTCCCTGCTGTTATCCCTATTTTGATGCTGTTGGCCTTTTGGTCTGCAAGTGCATACTGTTGGCTCACATTAAACTTTTCATTCACTCAAGCCCCAGAGTCTTTCTCCACAGGCCTGCCCTCAAGGACTTATCTCAGTCTGTACACCTGCTTATCCTGTTCGTGTCTTAGCATCTCTTCCAGGAGGATCCAATCTATGATCTTTCTAGGCACAGAGGTCAGGTCACCAGTCTGTAGTGTCCCTGATCTTCCTTTTTCCCTTTTTAAAAAATAAGAGTGATGTTTCTCTTTCTCCAGTCACCAGTGACTTCACCTGACAGCCATGACTTCTCAAAGAGAAGCTTGGCAGCTGCATCGGCCACTATTGCTCACATTCTGCAGGTAACTTTGATTTCTTTATTCCTCAAAACAAAACTTAGAGACTCTAGTTTTCATCCAAAAATATGTCTAGAATCTAACTTTCTAGGATTATTTTTAATGTAAAAGTGAATTTTCCACTGAGAAAAAAAAAAAAAAAAGACTCATTTGGTCATTTGGTGTTTTTTTTTTTCTGCTATCAGAATTCTATTTTGTGCAAGAAAAGCAGTACTTATTTATGCTTTTCAACATGAATATAACCAAAGCTAAAGTTAACACAAAACAGCAGCAACTGCTCCTACCTGCACCAGCCCTGGCAGAGGTGCTGCAATGGTTCTGCTCCCTGCACAGGAACGCTTTCTCCCCAGGTTGATAATGTAAACTCACATTAGCCTCCAGGCTCCCATGGCATTTATCTCTACTGAGTCACTTTTGATGGTAGTTTGCTTCCCCTCCTATTTCCATTCCTTCTTGTCAGATTGTGCTGGGAGGGCTCTGAGCTCAAGAGAAAAAAGCTTTCTTTTCCCTCAGTACCACTTCCACATAATCACTGTGATTATCAGCAGAGGAGTACACCCAGCATCCCACCACAGCCACATTACCCTTGAGGGAGGGAAAGGTCCTCAGAAGGGGGACTAGCAGTGCACACTCTCAGTCATACTGTGAGAGCCTGCTTGCCCCATTTTCTGATTCTGAGGGCCAGCAAGGCTTATCCCTCCTGCTGATGATGCAGTTGAGCATCCTAGCACTTTATAGAAATATAATTGTTATTGTTTATTGTTACAATTATTTCAATTATTATTATTCATAACTTCAAAACCCTCTTCTGGGCATTTTTTTTTTCTTTCTATCTGCTTGAGTATATACTGTGAGAATAAAACACCTGCTTCACTGGGAAAAAGGAGGGCACATAACGTATAAATCCAATTTCACAACCTTTTTGAGAAACTGAGTTTTGTTTTGTTTTGAAAAAGAAGGTCATCATCAAAGAGTCTTCTCCACATCTTCTGTTGTCTTCCCTCGTTTCTTCTAATGGAACCTTTAAATCTTTAAAAAACCCAACCTTCTACAGTAAAATCAGAACATTAAAGGCTGTAGGGATTCTTGGCATATCCCACAAATTCTGTGTTTTCTTTTCTGTTAAAGACATATTTCTCCTTGTGCTGTTTGTTTGAACAAGATGTCCCTATGCATTTGACTTGATTTTTCATTGTCCTTTGATCCCAATTTTATCATCATGTTCTTCAAGTCTTCGTTTCCCCTTCAATGAATCAAAGTATAACTATATTTGCAAACAGTGGGTTTTGGGGAGCTGTGCTGTAACTGCACCACCCCCTTCCAGAAACACATAAAACACCAGCAATGTCACTTTATTGCTGCATCTAGCTATCCAAAATGGGAGAGATGAAATTCCATATTTTAGACACTGCATGCTGCACACCAAGCACGCAGTTACACTGCCGTAATTAATTGCAGCATGTTTTCCATGTACTCCCACTTCAGCCCAGGCTCTACCTTAAAAATATAAGAAAATTATACAGGCATTCTAATCATCTTCATGTTTTTTATTCTCCCTTAGATTACAAAATGAAAACAGTTAATTTGCAAGAAGACATGTTTTTCCAAAACATATACTGATACTTCTCAGTAAAATGTATGTGATTAAAAAAAATAAAAATAAAAATCAGCATTAGGACACTGTAGAAAGATGAAATGAGAAGATGGAGATGTTGTTTTCCTCCCTGACTTCTTCCTTTTTTCACAATAGCACTCTGACCACCTGCTTCTGCACCCTTGGAATTCTTTTTCAAACCTCTACATCATGAAAAGGAGTTGGTATATTCTTTCTGTTTCTGACAACTCAGTGGCACCATTATCAGCACCTGGTGCTTTGTTGTTCCTGAGCTCCTGATTGATTCTCAAATCACTTCAAAATGTAATTCTTTCACGAATAGCAAATGTGTCTGGAAAACAGCTGTTTATTCACTTTCAGCCATCTCCCTGCCGTGGAGGCATAAAAGTATTCCTCCTTGCTCTTCTATAGCTGATTTTTTTCAAATGAAAAGGCTCCCTTAGTTGTTCTATATCAGACATAGATTTGGTTACTATCCTCTACCCATGCATTGATATTCTTATAAGATGTGTTTATTTTACTAATTCTGCTATCTTGCTTCATCTTCTCCCCAAGACAAGGGAGTATTGCCTTTCTTCTTATATGGTTGGCCTCACAGTTTTCCCTTTGAATTCAAAGTGTTTCTTATTCAGATTTCAATTCTGATTCCGAAGGCTACAGTCTTGCTCTATACCAATCTCAGACATTTTCCTGCAATCTATTCAAACCGTTCTTTTTCCTTTTTTTTTTTTTAATTAATTAATTTATTTATTCCTACAATCAATTCTAATGCTTTTTTTATCACTGCTCCACAGGGATCCCAGCCGGTATCAATCACACAATCCTTTGAAGACTCCTAGCCCTTTCAACTACTGCCCAGTATTCCTGTCCATTGCCTGGATCTCTCAAAGATTCTGCATTATGTCTGTGCATTATCTGCCTTTTTTCATTTTGCACAGTTCTCTGTTGTAGTAAATCATATTCTTACAGTAAAGAGAGCTCACTTGAAGCCAGCTTCCCTTTTTTTTTCCACTGTCCTGTGTCACTTCTATGTCTTTAACAAACAAATGTATTGTGCAACCTGATTGATACCAACCTGTTTTGAGGCACTCCTAGAATTATAGAAAGGCTGGGGCTGGAAGGAACTTTACATATCATTAGGTTCCCTGCCATGGGCAGGGTTGCCAACTGTTCACATAAGCTTTTGAATGTTCTCACAAGGAAGTAACATAATCTTCCTAACCATGTCTTTGTAGCAGATAAATGGCATTGCCGCATTGTTATTTTTGTCCTGAATGATCTCATTCTGTACATCTGGATCCCATGCACCTTCCTTCCTTTCCTTAGGATATCACTCAACCAAGAAAATACTGGCAGTTGAGAATATCTTACCTTTAGCTCTTCAGAGAACTAATCTTTTGTTTTATGAGCAGTGAGCATTAGCAGGATGAGAAAAGTCATGCCAGTGAGACAGGTGCTGCTTCATACTTCATGATTTCTGCTCCACTACAGAATACCACCCAACTCCTAACTAACAGGGAGTTGTTTCCTAGGCCTCCTGCTTATGTATGACTGTGATAGACTTTATAGGGTTCTTGGTTACTGTCAAGTGAAAACCCTGGGTGTTC